CACCCACCAAACACAAGCGCCAGGTCACAGGAGAGCTAAGCCTCTGTCCAGACGGGACGGAGAGTGTCCAGAACCACTGGCCGGGTCTTCACAAGAAGCCACCAAAGAAAGGGAAAACCGGCGATGGAATGATGTCAATCCTTTTGACAATGACCACTTTGTAAGCACAAGCAAAGCATCGGGCACCGTGCTAAGCCCTGCCAAGCGTCGCGCCCCGGAACCTCACGCCGGCCCTGGGAGATCCCTATTGAGCATACCCCAGTGTACATACGAGGGAGCTGAGGCGCGGAGGAGTGAGTTGACTGACCCAAGGTCACCCAGCCAGGACGAGGCAGTCAGCGCCGTACCGACCCACGCCCCGGGGTCCGGATGGAGGGCGCGTGGAGCTCCATGCAGGGAAGCTGCAGGAAGGGCCGCGGGCCGAGCAGAGCCCCCAGCCCACCCTCCGAGAAGGATCGTGCGCCTAGCCCCGCCGCCCCCTGCCCGCCCCGCGCTCCAGCCCGCGCCTCGCTGTCCGCAACCGGGGCCGAGACCCGGGCCGGGGCGGCCGCTCACCGGATTTCGGGGGGTAGCGATAGGCCGAGTTCGCCTGGATGTCGATGTCCTCGACGCCCGCGATGCGGCGACTCAGGATGGAGCCCATGGTGCACGGCGGGCCGGGCCGAGTATGGGATGGGGGCGGCGGCGGCGCCGGAGGCGTCCTCACGCGGACATAGCCGGGACCAGGCCGCACAGACGCTCGCCCACGGCCGCGGGCGCTCGGCCTCCGAGTCCCCACCCCCGGCTCGGCCCGGGGCCAGACGCCACGGCAGCCCTCCGCCCCCCGAGCCCGAGGCACCTCGGGAAATGGAGTCCCCTCGCCGCCGAGGGTACCCGGCGGCGGCGGCGCGGGATACCCACCTAGGAACTACATTTCCCAGTAAGCTCCTCGCCCGGGCTCGCTGAAATTGTTGACAAACGGTCCGGGACAAACCAAATGGACCTGAGTCCAGAGGGGAGGAACCATCAACCACACGGCAAACTATCCTTCCCTTTGCATTCCAAGCACAAGACTAACATTGTAACTCTTTAGCCTTTTAATAATCTGTTCATACATAGATCTTGCTAGGAACCAACGCCTTCCATTTACTCCCTCTCTGAAATATCTCCCGGAGCATGGTTCTCCCCACTTCCCTGGGTTTAATCTCCTGGCCCGGCCAGCAGAGGGCAGACCCTTACCTGCCACCCGCAAAGAGCTGGGATGGAACCCAAGATTACCTGGAGCGGTGCACACAGGGTAAGGGAAGCACCTTTTCCAGAACTCTAGGCATCTCTCTGGCTCCAACGTCCAGAATAATTCTTTGAAGACATGATTTTAAAGTCCCCCGTGGAGGCAGTAGACCTCTCCCCATTTTACATATAGGGAAACTGAGGCACAAAGAAGGGAGGGGGCCACACATAAGGGTGCTCAAGTTTACAAGAATCAGGGTTAGAGTTAAAGCCTCTTTGCAGATTGCAATGTACTTTCTTGGCTTTGTGACTCACACAAGACTCTGTAAGGCCGAGTGAGGATCTGTTTCTACCTACTTTTCACTTGAGAAACAGCAGTTCTGAGGAAGAAAGTGACTTCCCAAGACAAGCCTGTCTATCCAGAAAGGAGCTAGGGAGGGCAGAGGCTGTCTAAGAGTCTCAGATGGTAAATTCACCACAGTCCACATTAAAGTGAGTCCTACACCTTTCCAGACACTAGAACCCAGAATACAACCTTCCTATTTTCAGGGGACCCTGGGAAGCCAAAAGTAATAAAAGAAGTGAGGGATTTGTGTGATTATAAGGGACAGTCCAGGTCTTGGAGCCTGATTTAACCTCTCTGCCCTGCAACCAAGATCCCCATTTACTGAGCACCTACTATGTGCCAGACATTGGTGTTGAAGGCTATGCACATATTCTCTCTTTTAATTCTCTGTTGTAGGTTCTATTTTCATTCCCAATTTACAGAAGAGGAAAGAGGCCAGGAGAAGTGAAGTACCCCACTCAGCTTGCATAGTAGGTAAGTGGTAATAAAGCTGGGATTTGAACCAGGCCACTTCTCTTAATGCCACACTCCCCTACCACACCAGAGACAGGAATGCTCCAGTGCCAGATTCCCTGTCTCTTGCCCCCAGATGGGCCTGAAGACATCCCCACCCCATGTGACCTTTCTTCCCTTACTTTAAATTTCTTTCTGTTGAATCACATAACACTGTTGAATCATATATACACAAATAGGTATACCAACACAGCATTCAATTTATCAGTCTCCCTGCTTGTGGGGAGGGAAGGAGAGTACTGAGGGTCCAGATGTTCCCACTGAAAAATAACCCTAAGAGCATGCCCTCCCTACAGATAGTGGGCCAGGGCAGTCATTTCCATGGGCTGATGTTTGATCAATTAAACATTCCTCTTAATAGAGCTTTGGACTTCGGGTATATTTTTCTGTGCTTATCCATGCCCCGGTGGGAGACAGGCCCTTTTTGATTTGATACTGGTTCTACTATCAACATCTTCGCTGGTTCACTTATTTATTCAACAAATATTTATCATGCAGCTACTATGTGAAAAGCAATGAGACAGGCAAAGAGCCAGGAAATATAGATTAAATGGTGAAACCACCAGATATGAAACATCTAGTGAGGAAACAGACATTACAGGCGAACAAGTGTATAAATACAAAATGTGGTGGATGCTATAAGGGAATGGACTGAGGTGCAGTGAAATACTAGGAGAGACCTACTATTCATAGCGGAATCAGGGAAGGCTTCTCTGAGGAAGTGACATTTAAGCTAGGACTTGAAATACAAGTAAGAGCCAAGCAGGCAAACGCTGAGGGAGTAGGCAGCTCAGGTTCCAGGCAGGGAGAACAGCATGTGCAAAGGCCCTGAGGAGCTGAGTAAGATCAATGAGCTCAAAGGCCAGTGTGGCTAGAATCAAGTAGGCAGGAGAGTTGAGGAACAGAGGTCAGGAGTGAGGCAGTAGCCAGATCTCAAGGCCCCTCAGTCAGCCAGTATCGGGTCCTTTGAAACATGAAGAAAGACCCTAGGCATACTTCATGGCTAGTATGAATCCCTCAAGTCGACTTCTTAAGTCTTCTGAGGGGTCAGGATCCCTGCCTATTCATTCTTGTGCTCCCAGAGCCAGGCACCCAGTGGATGTCTGATAAACACATCTGTGGAGTGATTGAAGGAATGGAGGTGGAGAGGAGCCCGTGGTCCTGGGCCTACCATCAACTGGCTATGCCAACTTTGCCAAGGTCCTCAACCTCCCTGGACCTCAGGTAAGATGAAGGCATTGCCATAAATCCCTTTTATACCTCCATCCCCCCCATCTACTGGCCCCAGCTGTCAGGCCCAATCCGAGCCTGCTAAGAAATCCAAAGTCCACTCTCTAGCCAGGCTGATCCTGGCTGAAAACAAGGTTGTTTTTTCCTTCCCACTGCCCCTGGGAAAACAAGCTGGCTGGGGGGCCATAGGGGCCAGAGGGGTGACCTTTGCTCCTACTAGCCCCACCTGCCCCACCCAGCCAGCCAGCTGGCCTGGAAGAGCTCCTTCTGGGCAAGTCTAGGCAGGTAACTGAGTGGTGCCCAGATGAGAGTGAGGGAAGGGGTGAAGGTACTTCCTGCCTCCCTAAGCAAGAAAAGCCCCCAGTGGTCCCTGCCAGGACAGTGCCCACCCTCCTTGGCCAGAAACACACCCTGCTGGCCCACTGGGTGCCTACTCTTCTCCACTGGCTCTGAACACTGTCAAGAGTGTAAGGAAGTTTGGATTCCAGCCTCAGTTTCCTTATCTGTAAAATGGGGCTTGGGTTCCCTTCAGTGGTCCAGATGGAGGCAAAGAGGTGAGTGCTAAAATGGTGCTCTGAGCACCACAGGCATTAATCCCCCAGAGCAGTCCTGGTAGAGTTCTAAGCTGCTGCCTTGGGTTCTACAAATGAAGGAACTGAAACTCAGGGCCAGAGAACCTTGTCCCAACATCAGTCATTAAGTGGCAGAGTCAAGACTGACACCCAGGTCTGTCTGGCTCCAGAACCTGCTCACCTTCCACCATACCCTGTTGCTGTCCCAGTAGTAATAGTGATAGAGGTAATGACATTCAGAACTGCCCACCCCGTGCTGTGCTGAGCGCTTTGTCCACATTAATTCACACTTATGATGCTTTGTGAAGGTGAGGGGCCATTTTTAATAAGAGCAGAACTCTCCTGGCACCATCAAGATTTGCAAAAAATGGTGGCAGAAAGGGGCTGAAACCTTATTTCCCGAGTGGACTTGGGAAATAAGTCCCAAGGTGACTTCTGCCAGGGTTGAGGCACCCACCTGAAGGGGACACTGAGTCCTCTCCCTGCCAAAGGGCCAAGCTCCCATCTCCAGCCCTCAGAGGCCGCTTAGCAGTCCCACTGCTCCAGGCTCCCCTCCCTCCCCCAGCTATCCCGATGCCCCAGCCTCCCCGGAGCCCCCATAACCTTGGGAGCCTTCAGGTCCTGTCCACCATCTTCCATCCTCCTCCTCTTACCAGTCAAAGCCAGAATGCCCTGGAAGGGTTGAGGGACCCAGGAAGGGCTCCTCCCAGAGCACTACAGGTCCTCCTCCTCCCCCCAGGGTGGGACAGTTCCCTCCATTCAGTCTAATTCTGCAACAAATCCCTGGGCAGGGACGGACTCCTCTGGAACCAGACACACCTAGAACATCACCTGACCCGGACTGGTCCTCTCTGCCACCATCTGGTCTTCACACTGCTCAGCCACAGTGATCCTAATGCACACAACGGATCAGATGTAGTAAACCCCCTCAATGACCTTTAGTCCACCATCTCCAGGGCCTGTGCCTGCTTCCTGAGGGTACTTTCCATACCTGCAATTCTACATCTCTTCTTGGGATTTTTCTTTAATTTATTTGGCTGCATTGGGTCCTCGTTGCTGTGCACGGGCTTTCTCTAGCTGTGGCAAGAGGGGGCTACCCTTCGTTGCAGTGCGCAGGCTTCTCATTGTGGTGGCTTCTTGCGAAGCACAGGCTCTAGGTGCATGGGTTTCAGTAGTTGTGGCACGCAGGCTCAGTAGGTGTGGCACACAGGCTTAGTTGCTCTGCGGCATGTGGGATCTTCCCGGACCAGGGTTCGAACCCGTGTCCCCTGCATTGGCAGGAGGATTCTTAACCACTGGGTCACCAGGGAAGTCCCTGTTCTTGGGATTTTTGATGCACGCCCCCACCCCACGCACCAGCCGACCCTTCTAGAGTTCCTTGGCCAGATCAGAGCCAGGAATAGAGTAAGGGCCCAATAAAGAGTTGCTCAACTAATGAAACTGGTGTCCAGGGAGCGCGGGGAACCGGGACAAGGTCATCCTGAGTCGGAGTGACGAAGCCCCCGGCCCCAGGTCCGAATCCGCCCGGCCCCAACACTCCCGACCGGCAACGTCAACCGGAAGCGGCGCGTGCGGAGCTGTAAACACAACCCGCAACACCCTACCTAGCGCTCTCTTCGGCCCCGCCCCCGCCCTCCACGTGACGCGCCCTGCCCGCCCCAACCCAGTGCCCGCCCCCGCTGTTGCCTCATTGGGCAGCCAGCTTTGTTTACCTTATATGGCCAGGTCCTAACACCTCCCGACAGCCCATTGGCTGAGGAGCGGCCTCATTCACTTGACGTCACAAGGACTGAGCGATGCAAATAAACCAGGGCATTCTGGGAATGGGAGTTCGGGGCCGCCCCGGAACTGGCGCCGCGCGGTCCTAGAGTCCGCTCACTAAAAGCTCAGCTTTCCCGCAAAGCGCACGAAATTTTGCGTGGGAAAGTGCGAGCATCCCGCAGAGGGTATGCAGAGGCTGCAGCGACTTCTGGTCTCGCCTACCTGTCTCGGTCTCCATCCCTTCCTCTGACGTTCCTTGGGTCTACTGTGTGCTTGGCGGAGCGCCAGGCCGGGGAGGAACCCGTGTCACAAGTGGGCGACGCGAGCTTGTGCCCTGGGTGTTGGGGAGACTCGGAAGGCTTTCTGGAAGCGGTGACTTTAGGCAGAACCCTAAAGGGCAGATTAATTCATTCACTGAACGAGTATCTGTAGGCGCCTACTGTGTGCCAGGCTTTCGGGGCCTTATGGCCCTAGTGCTGTTGATTTGTGCCAAAATTCTTGGCCCATCCCCCTCCCCAATAGTGCGCCTACTCAACACAGAGGGATGCCAACCACACTGGGGTTCGGGATACTGGGATCTTGGTAAATACCCTGAGGCTGCGTTTGCGCCCATGCACAGTGTCTATGGCCCCCGTCTCCTGACCCCCGTCAGTTCAGTCACGGGCCTGGGCACGTGCCCGTCCAGCTTCTGCACACAGTAGGCGCCCAACGCTCAGACACACCTTCGGCCCCGGGCCGGCCCGCGGCTCCCGGCCGAGCGCGGCGGAAGCGGCGCGGGACTACATCTCCCAGCATGCCCCCCGCGGCCCGGAGCGAGGCGAGGCTCGGTGAGTCAGAGCCGCACAGTAAATATTTGTATTAGCCGGAGCCGGCTCGCTAATGGTGGACGCGTGAGGCGAAGGAGCGCGCGGCGGCGGGAGGCCGGAGCGGGCAGGCGGCGGAGGCGCCATGTCCGTGAACATGGACGAGCTCAAGCACCAGGTCATGATCAACCAGTTCGTGCTGACGGCCGGCTGCGCAGCCGATCAGGCGAAGCAGCTACTGCAGGCGGCCCACTGGCAGTTCGAGGTGCGCGGCCAGGCTGGGGCCGGGGCGCGGGTGTCCGTCCCGCGTGGCTACGCGTGCCGTGGAGCATGTGCGGGCCGGTGTGGACACGTGCCGCGGCGCGCTCGGCCGGGGTCGGGCCCGCGCACTCGGCCCTGAGTCCCGGCGGTCGCGCGCCCCGTCGGCTGAGCCGCAGAGCGCACACGCGGCGTGCGGGTCAGGCCCCGCGGCGCGGCCGCGTCTACGCGGCCCCCGGAAACGCCGCCCGCTCGGGGTGGGCGGAAGGGGCAGTCTGCCTTTCCCAGAGCCCGAATCCCCGCCCCCCGAATTCCCGGGCGATCGGTTTCGGGGGCCCCCTTTTTGTGCGGGTAACGGCCAGGGTGGGGCGGCGCCGAGGCCCAAACGGACAGACTGGCGGGCGGCCGGAAGGAGGACGCCCCAGGCCTGGGCCGAGCTGGGCCCACGCCGCCCCTGCCTTGGGAGCCGCGGGTTTAAGATAAGGGAGCCCCGAGCCCGCGGGTGGAGCCGCCCGGTGGGTCTCAGGGTCTGAGGATCTGCGTGTGGGCTGGACAGCTCGGTGGCGCGTGTCCACGTACATGTGCATTTGTATTTACGCACGCGCCACGCTGCGTGTGGACATGTTGGCGCGCGCGCGCGTGTGTGTGTAAACACGTAGTCCACCGGGGTGCGGGTGCGGGGTGTGTGCCCACACCACAGGTCGCCGTTTTGCAGACGGTGCTCTCGCGTGTGCACACATGTGTACAGGTGTTGTGTCGGAGCCCCACACTACAGCTACGTGTGCATCTGTGTACCCTGCTCCAGAGGCGTGTCCAGGTGCTCTCCTCTGTGCTGGCCGGCGAATCTACCTGCACAGTGCATGGCATGATATACACGGTTCAGTAGCTTCTAGCTTTCAGCCAGCTGGGCAGGAGGTGGGGCTGCCCCAGCCTGGCCCCCACCTCCCCAGGCCTCCCTGACCCATAGGGCACTAGTGCCCAGGGCTTGTGCTGCCAAGAGGCCACCTGGCCTTCCCTACTCTGCCGCCCCAGAAATAACCCAGGATGGTATCTGGGGATGAGGCCAGAGCCCCTTGAGCTCTTCCCCTCACGAGTGTAAGGTCACAGCCCCAGCCAGTCTGTAGAGTCTGTGCCCAGTCCAGGCTTCAGAGCCTGGTTTCTAGATGGGGAGCAAGCTCAGGGAAGGTATTTGGGCCGTAGGAGGGACAGGGAGCCAGGGTACTCAGGAGTTCAGCTTCCTGGGGGTGGGATGGGGATCAGAATTGCTGCCCAAAGGTTGGGACAGTCTCGGGAGGCAGTGGCCTGTCCACCCAGGGGAATCCTTGCTCACTTTCCTACCAGAGATCTCAGGGGGACTGCTAACCCTGCAGTGGTCCTCACGTCACAAGATGGGAGGCTGCTCTGGCTCTCTGAGCAGGTCCCACTCTCTGGCCTCAGTTTCCTCAGCTGTACCTGGGGCATGTGAGTTGACCTCTAAGGAGTGAATGGCCAACCCCGGCAGCCCCACCCTGCAGGAAGCTCCCTAATCAGCCCGTTTGTCTCAAGAGCTGGATGTGGCAAAACTTGCAAAACCACATTCATGGCAGTTTGCTTGAGTCCCACATCTGCATACATGGCTCCCCCGTCTGCCTGGGGCTGGGCAGGCAGGTGTCGGGTGGGAAGCGGCCCTGCCTGTCGGCACTCTCAGCCCAGCCCACAGAGCCTGGCACCAGCCTGGCAGTCACTCAGGCAGCACTGGTTGGTGTCGCTTGGTCACAGGACTTGAAAATGTAACTTTGAAAATGGAAATGCCTGGGGAAAAACTCTGATCTCAGGAGGGGCAGGAGCAGCTCGCAGACTGAGGAGCTCTGGTGGCCCCCAGGGTAGGAGCCCTGTGCGCCAGGCTCCCTGAGTCTCAATTTCACCATGTGTAAAATGGGGAGGTGGATAGTAGGGAGGTCTGCTTAAGGTAAAAATGGATTGTGAACATCCAATCCTTAGGTATTCCTGGGAGTGAGTGGGGTTCCTTGTGGTAAACTCCCCTCTGTGCCCTCCTCCCTGGCTGGCTGCACACTTGGACTGAGGGCTGGTGCAGCAGGAGGCCTTGTTTTTGGGTCATACTCTCTGTGATTCAGGTGTTAATGGGGACAGAAGGCTGCTGGAGGGGGACCTGTGTGCTTTAAGGTTGGGGGTGCTTTAGGAAGGCAGGAAAAGGGCAGCCGTTTCTCCCTGGAATTCTCACACGCAGCAATGGCCTTCAGAGTTGCTGTTGGGGGAGGAATGGTTTGGTGTGTCCCTTGGGGCGCCTGGGGGTGTGTGTCACAAGGAAGTGCTTAGAGATCAAGGCCCTCCCCCCAGCTCCCACACCCATGTTTGGGGACACTGGGGTAGGGCATCTCCAGCAGGAAATTCCCAGAGTAATTCACTTGAATTTAATAATAAAACCCCTAGGGTAAGCCCTAGAAGCCAGGCTGGGTTTCTGGGTGTGTTGGGAGTGGGGGAGGGACTGACAGCGCTGGGCTGTGGGGTGGTGAGCCCAAGGGGGGAGCCATGGAGGGCAGAGCTGCCTGCAGACCCTTCACACACTTGACGGGCTCCCTCACCCAGCACTTTCGCAAGAGCAGCTGGTTCCTTTATTTTCCTGGACGCCTCTCCTGCAGGGGTTGAACCAGGACACACCAATGCCAGCGGAGGCCACCCTGGGGCCCCTCCTCCCAGCCCCCCAGGGTCACTAGAGGAGCTTGTCTGACCCAGGCCAGCTGCCACCCCCTTTCCCACCCACTTCTCACAGTCCTGGGTGCAAACCCCACTTCAGCCTTCCTCCTGCTCCACCACCTTGAGAACATTCCAAGGAAGGCTCAGGTAACTGGACAGGGGTGCAAACCCCAGACCATCCTACTTAATTCCGGCTCTCCCAGCTGGACCGTGGATCTCTGGAGGTCACTGCTGCTAGGGAGGGGAACCTGCAAGCCACCTAGTCCCATCTCCCTGTGGTGCAGATGGAGAAACCGAGAACCAGGGCAGGGTCCCTTGGCCAGCCTAGGAGAGGAGCAGGTGGGTTACAGACTCTCAACATCTGGGTGCCTTTGCCGTCCTCTGGCTCATAGACAAGGAAACTGAGGCTCAGGGAGGAGTAGGGACTTGCCATCCATGGAGTTGGTGGCAGTAGGGCTAGAAACTGCCGGAGGCCTTTCCCCATGAGACAGGCCCCCATGTCAGGTGAGCTGGAAGCACTTGGCAGCCAGGTGGCAGGCAGTGTCATGAGGGTCCTCCCCACCCACCAGACCTGCCCAGAGGTCCACAGCGCCTCTTTGGGCTGCGGCGAGGGTCGAGGGATGACAGGCATGCTGCCTCAACTTGCCAGGCCAGGGCCACAGGGGTCCTGAGGGTAAGCGTGGGCCTTTCTTCCCACAGACGGCCCTCAGCGCCTTTTTCCAAGAGACCAACATCCCCTACAGCCACCATCACCACCAGATGGTAAGTGTCCCCTGCAGCCCCAGGGGCAGCCCTGCGGGGCTGTCCCGGTTTGGGGCAGGGGAAAGCCACCCAGGGCCAAGGAAGGTGCAGTGGCTCTTGGCCACGGAAGAACCGCTGGGATGGGACTCCTGGGAGCCTGGCAGCAGGCACAGTGGGCTAGCCCATCCCGGACACCACACCTTTCCTCTGTGAGCTCCTGGCTGGTGGACCGCCTGCAGGGTGGGGTGCCTGCAGGGAAGGGGCATGTGTCTCCTCGTGGGATCCTGGGGCCCTTCCAGAAAGGGGGTGCTCACCCCTCCCTCTCTGTTCCTCTTCCCCCACAGATGTGCACTCCAGCCAACACCCCCGCCACGCCCCCCAACTTCCCTGATGCCCTCACCATGTTCTCCCGTCTCAAGGCCTCCGAGAGCTTCCACAGCGGAGGCAGCGGCAGCCCGATGGCCACCACGGCCACGTCGCCCCCGCCGCACTTCCCACTCGCCGCCACCGGCAGCTTCGCGGCACCCAGCTGGCAGGCTGCGGCCTCGCCCCCAGGGGGGGCACAGCACCACCAGCCGCAGCAGCCGCCCCTGTGGACTCCGGCACCCCCTTCCCCGGTGTCAGACTGGCCGCCCCTGGTCCCCCAACAGGCCGCCTCAGAACCCAGAGCCCACCCTGCCATGGAGGCCGAGAGATAAGGGAGGCCCCTCCCCCCTCCCGGAGGCCAGAACCCCGTGGGGCGGGGGAGAGGACGTCTCTGCGGGCCCCCTTCACCCTCCTCTGTCTGCACCCCCATTCCCCAGAGCCCTGTGGGGGAGAGGCTGGACCCTTGTGCCAGTACGCAGGCTGCCCGCATGCGTACCCAGTAGCGCGGGACTGCAGCACCCAGCTTTCATGGATTTGGTTCAGAGTCGTCTGGGTGCTGGCGGACAGAACCTCAGAGAACAAGCAGCCTTCCCCCGAGGACTCACCTGCCCCACCCCACCCCAGGGGGCTGCGGAGCTCCCTGGGGCTGGTGGGCCTAGATCCCCACCCTCGGGAATGCAGAGCCTTCTCCGCATGTGTGCGTGTCGCTGTGTCTGTGTATTTATATGTATGTCGCTCTTCGAGAAGCAACCTAGTTTATGGGGCAGCTGGACTTTGCATGTTAGAGTGAGCCCCCTCTCCCCTTGTCCGCCGTCCCTCTCCCCAGGGCCCTGCCCCTCTCCCCTGCCCCCTGGGCAGTCAGCCTTGCTGTTCCCTGCAGAGAAAAGGATTGTGGGAAACTCCAGGACTCTTCCCACCCATCCCCCAGCGCCTGCCTGCTGGGGCTGCCTGCATGCCTCCCCAGAGCCCAGGGGTACCCCATCCCCAGTTCCTTTCCCCCTTTTAACAAAGGAGAAGAAAGAGTTCCAAACCACCACCAGGCTCTGTGGTCTTGCCTCGTATCCTAAGCTTTGCTGCCAGCTGGCCCTGTGTGGAGGGGGAGGGAGCCAACGGAGCCCAGAGCAGGGGCCCACCCCCTAGTCCCGCCTGGCTCCACACCGCTCCTGTCGCTGTCTTTTCAACCACAACATGCTCTGGAATCTTCCTGCCCACCCCAGGCTTTTCCCATGAAGTTAGTTCCTGCCCTGTGTTCCCAGAACCCCTGCCTCCATCTGCTCACCCTTCCCCCTGTCCAACTGGACAGATCCCGACCTCCAGGGCTAACAGCTGCCTTCCGGTCTGCCAGGGTTTCACAGAGGACTTTTCTTCCTGGCTTAGGGCCCCAGTGACTGGCTGCAGGCTGGACCCTCAGCCCAACCTCCAGCAAACATGCTGTGTGGGCAGGGCCCTCCCTTGGGGAGGCACAGGACACAGCACTGGTAGTAAGATAGCAGGCTTGGATGCAGAGCCCGTGGGGGCTAGCAGCAGGGACCGGACAAGGCTGAGCAGAGTCTAACCCGCAGCTCGAACCTTTGGTTGCTAAGGAGACGAACCACTCGGGCAACAGGCAGTGGATCCCCGGCTGCTATCAAGCTAGGCTGGGGCAGGCACCTGTTCTTGCTCCAAGGGAGAAGCCAGGGCGCCCCACTCTGTCCTGGGCAGCCTGTACCAGTGGAGGGCATCCCTGGGGCGGTTTTGGGAGAAGGTAGCCTTGGCCTTGTGCCCCTTCGTGAGGAGCTGGAACATGGGGAAGGAAGGAGGTGGGGGCCTCTGCAGCTCTTCACTGGCAGACTTTACTCCCTAATCCGGGAGAGCCTGCCGGCACTCAGCCCTCTGTGGACGGCGTCTGGGTTGGGGAGTTCTATTTTGGAAGGTCTCCTGCTTGACAGGTGTCTCAGCACCTGCCATCAACAGTCCTGCTCTTGCTCCCCAGGGTTGCCGTGCTGCCACCTAGCCTCACCTCTGCCCTGTTGGAGCCTGGACAGGCTCTGCAGACCACTGTCTGTCCCCGCTTATCACTGAAGACTGACCACGGCGCCCCTGCTCTAGCTGTTGCTCATGTTCTGGAAGTGTGTCCTCACCTTGAAGCCCACCCTTCTAATGGCCTTCAGAGGGGCGCAGCTCTGTCTGGGGTGCCTGTGGTGAGGGAATTGCGGGGTGGGGCAGGATGAGGAGGGGGCGGCTGCCCTAGGCCTCCTCAGTCTTTACTGCAGCTTCTTCATCCTTTCGGATGGAAGACAATAATCAGGGAGCTGCCACATCTCCCTCCAAGTGTAAGAAAAATGGTTTGTAGAGGCAACTGAGTATTTCTGGGTTATCTGTGACACGGGGGTTATCTGTAACAGCGTGCCTAAGCTCCCCAGTGCACAGACTTACTGAGGTGGCCGTATGCGTTGGAGCCACATGAGACGGTGTACAGTCCAGAATGTGCACTCAGGCTACCCCCAGGCGGGCCCCTGGGTGGCCTGTAAGTGATCCACACCCTCGCTACTCAAAGTGTGGTTCCCAGACCAGTGGCATAACCTGGGAACTTGTTAGAGATGCAGGACCTCAGCCCCCAGCCCAGATCTACTGAAACAGAATCTGCTTCTGACAGGATCCTCACGTGCCCAGTGGACATTCAAGGGTGAGAATGTCCCAACCTGACCAAGCCCAGTTCTGTTTTTGGAGGCCCCCACGGGCTGGGCCTGGAGGTCCCTGGTGGTCTCATTAGGGCTGGCAGGGACTTGAGGTTCCTGTAGATCCAGCTCTTCTAGCGTGGGCACTCTAGACATCGGAGGCTGGGTCCTTCTCTGCCACGGGCGCATCCTGTATGCTGTGAGATGTTGAGCAGTATCCCTGGCCCCTTCCCATGAGTAGATGCCAGTAGCAGCCCCCAGTTGTGACAACCAAAAATGTCTATAGGCACAGTGAAACATCCCCTGGAAGCAAAGTCACCCCAGTGGAGAGATCCCACACTGCCTGTGGTTCTGTAGCTGGCTGCACAGCATGGCCTCCAGGGAGCTCCCAGGCCCCACGGCATCAGAATCCCTGGGGAGTCCCTGACAGTACAGTTTTAAACATTCCCCAGGATATCAGTGATCGACTTGTGAACATACTAAAAACCACTCAATCGTATACTTTAAAAACTGTATGGGGGCTTCTCTAGTGGCGCAGTGGTTGAGAATCCACCTGCCAATGCAGGGGACACGGGTTCGATCCCTGGTCTGGGAAGATCCCACATGCCGTGGAGCAACTAAGCCCGTGCGCCACAACTACTGAGCCTGTACTCTAGAGCCCGTGAGCCACAACTACTGAGCCTGCATGCCGCAACTACTGAAGCCCGCGCGCCTAGAACCTGTGCTGCACGAGAGAAACCACCGCAACTAGAAGCCTGCGCGCTGCAACGAAGAGTAGCCCCCACTCACCACAATTAGAGAAAGCCCACGTGCAGCAACAAAGACCCAACACAGCCAAAAATAAATAAATAAAATAAATAAATTTATAAAAAACTGTATGGCATGACACTTATGTGTCATAGCTGTTATTAAAAGTAGAATGGCTCCCGGGTGATTCTGATGCAACACAAGCCCCTCGTGGCAGCTGGGAGCCACCAGACTCTTGACCCTCCAGCATGCAGAGCACAAGGGTCCCTTGGGTCCTTGAGGCAACTGTTCTGGAGGAGGGCCCAGGAATCTGATTTCTCTCTTTTTAAAAAATTTTTAATGGACTTTATTTTTTAAAGCAGTTTTGTTTTTTTAATTCTCTGTTTTTGAATTTTATTTTTTATACAGCAGGTTCTTATTAGTTATCTGTTTTATACGTATTAGTGTGTATATGTCAATCCCAATATCCCAATTCATCCCACCACCACCACTTTCTCCCCTAGGTGTCCATATGTTTGTTGTCTACATCTGTGTCTCTATTTCTGCCCTGCAAACTGGTTAGGAATCTGATTTCTAACGAGGGCCCCAGGCACAGCGGGAACTGGAGCGGGAGGGGGCAGAGGGCAGGGCTGGAGCTTTCCAGCAGTGCTGAGACCCTGCCAGGTGTGAGCACCTGAGCATCTCTCAGGCAAGCAAAGGGGTCAGGAAAACTCACTCAAGGGGAGCTAGAGGTGGGACAACAGAGATGCCACGTGACCCAGAACTCAAGGGCAGCACAGAACCAGGAACTTCAATTTCCCCAAACCTTGAGTCTCAGAAGCAAAACTGAAGGAGTCAGTAACCACCTACTACACGTTCAAGTGTAAACTGGCTAAAAAGCAAAGCTGCTGATGTAGGAATGGAAGAGACTCACATTTACAGCCATCCTCAGCTGTCCACCTCGGGCACCTCCTAGGAGCTGCCTCAGCAGCACACAGAGAAGACCAGCCTTGTCACCTCAAAAGTCCAGCCTCTGGGCTTTGTCACCACTAGACTTGAGCTCCAGATCGCTCTCTTTCCAAGATTCCATTGTGAAAACACCATTTGCATCCATGAGGTTGCTGGAAAGAATGTGATTGGAGCTCTCATTTCTGAAGAGGGTACATGGCAGCATGTGGAATGGAGGCCCGGCCTCCCAAGGTGACAAGCGGTGGGTGAGCCCTTCAGGTCTGATGTTAAATGATCAGGGCATGGCTGTCTTAGGGGTTTGCAGATTCACAGGCCTCTGATACGTGCTGTTGGGCTTGATTTGTCGGCCAAGCAATTTAAAATCAGGAGAGTGAAAAAAAAATTAAAAAATTTAAAAAAGGAGAGTTTACAAGAAAAGCCTCACTTCTGGTTTACCTTGGAAAATTTGTAATATCTGGACCAAGTTCCCTTAAGGCCACAAATGGTTGAAGCTGACCACCACTGTGGGGACATAGCTCAGCCTGTCCCTGGCCAGCCAGCCACTCCTCTGCCCACCATGGACATGTGCGTGTCCAGCGTGTCTTGCATCTGCTGGAATCTCTGAAGGGGATTTGCTCTTCATCAGGAGCATCTGTGGAAGTAAATGTCCTGCTCTGTGGGGTGGCAGGGTGGGGGGTGGGGACCTTGGGGGGGTGGTGAATGGAGGCTCTGAAATGCTTTCTGTGGGCAGGCAGGGCTCCTCCTTCAGAGCTTTAAAGAGAAGGGCTTGTTCTGAGATTCCCTTGGATGAAGGTGGATGCTCCCAGGGCCGCTGAGAGTCCCCAGGGCTCTCTGGGAACACACTGTGGCCACTGTAGAAAACCACACTGCTCCGGAGACTGGCCCCACAGCCCAGTGGCAGGCAGGGCCGTTGTGGCCCTGGAGGTCTCTGAGGGGCTTTTTATAGCAGGACTCATCTGAGGACAGATGAGGGTTTTGACTCCAGCTCCCTCCGCGGGAGGGGAGGGGAGGGCCCACTTCCTGGAGGCCTGTCAGTGGTGCAGCACGAGGTGCTGGGAGCCTGTTGGCAGACTCCTGCTCTACTTTCTGGGGCCATTTCTCATCTGGGGAATATGAGGTGTAAATACTGGGGATCTCATTTTCTATGGATCCTGGGGAAGCCATGAGCAAGAGAAAGAAAGGGGAGAGAGAAGAGAAGCCCCTCTCTGGAGGTTGCGTGTGTGTGTGTGTGGAGGGTCTCTGCATAGAGCTCCCAAATCTGTGGAAAGTCAGGGGTCAAGCCAGCCAAGACAGTGGTGCCAGGGGGACCTGTGTGTCCCTAAGAAGTCCCTGCACAGAATGTCCTCCCTCCAGTGCCTCCTGGTGGCCTCCTTTTGGGTACTGGTGGTGCCTTTTACCAAGGCAGATCATCTTGTTTGGGACACGTTTGCTGTTGTTTATACCTTAGGGTTAATGAGTTTGTGGTCTTTGAAAGAAAGAAAATGTTCAGTGACCCTTTTACTTGCATGGGTGGGTTGTGGGGCTGGGTTTGGGGGTGCAATCACCACGCTGCACCTTAAGGCAGGACCCTCTGCTTGGCAGCAGGCATCTCATTCGTGCCCCTCATACCAGGCCAGCCCACATGCTTCCCTCTCCACATGACTGATTCATCTCAGTCTTTTGTTTGTTTTGTTTTGGCCGCACCACACGGTTTGCGGGATCTTAGTTCCCCGACCAGGGATCGAACCTGGGCCCTTGGCAGTGAAAGCCTGGAGTCCTATCCACTGGACCACCAGGGAATTCCTTCTTGGTCTTCAAACTGAAAGTTCCAGGGATCCCCTTCACTCCCAGGCAGACCAGGATGGTTGGTCACCCTACTCCTTGTCCAGCTTGGCCCTGCCACTGTGTCCCAGGCCAGGAGCTGTGGTCCCCCCTGCAGAAGAGGAGGCTGGACCCAGGGCCTCCAAAAATTCCCACTCTACTGACCCCATCCCCAGTTCTGTCTGCTCCCCAAGCACCTTCCCCTGCTGGGATGGGGTGGGCCACCCTTCTGAGCAGCAGCCCCCAGTAGGTGCAGTGCCTCCCTCCCAGCTGCAGGTCCCACCCCCGGGGCTAGAATAGGTGAGCCTTGTCCTTGGCAAAGATCCTGCCTGCACCTCCCACCTGGGATCAGGTCAAAGGTTGGCTTCCCCACCAACCCCCACGGGGGATAGAACTGTCATCTTCAAGATGGCTCCTGGCTGGCTGCAGTTGGGTTCATGGTTCCCCACCTTTCAAAGCACCCAGTAGGCCTGTCAGTATGCAAATGGTTACACAGTGACCTACCTGGGTCTTGCTCCTTGCTCCCTGGGCTGCAGGAACCCACTCAAGCACTGATTCCATTGGTAAATCTGAGAAATGGGCTGGGAAGGCAGCTACAAGGGGCTGAAAGAGCAGGGCTTGGATGCCTGTGTCAAGGCTGCAGGAGACAAGCCTGACCACACCTGGCATGGGCGTGTCCCTAAGAGGCCCCACCTCTCCGTCTGCCCGAACCCAGGCCACACCTCCTTTTCCTGGAAGTTGGACCCTTCATACCTGTGTACAGCACCCACCCAAGAAGTACAGCCTTCTGGGCAGGTGGCCGGAGAGCTAAGGCCTCACTGTGTGACCCTGGGCAAGTCACTCCACCGCCCCTCCCACAGGCCCGTGATCTGCCCACCACACAGGACGAGGGCCACACGGGGCGCTTTGCCACGGGGCGACCAACGTGATGGGGGAGGGGCGGTTTGTTGTGATTCTCTGCTGAGACTCAGCCATGGTGGTTCTGGACAGTGGTTCTGGGAGGCTGACCCTGGGCTGATGGCCCGAGGAAGGACTGGCAGGTCCACCCACCCATGTGGGACGGGCAAGGCCTCCCCTCGCAGAGGGCATGGGGCCAGTCACCCTTATCCACGATCAGAAAAGTGAAAGATTTTATTCTGGGGAGAAGCTGACAAAAACACTCATCTGTGATATGGGGGTGGGGCCAGGGATGCACTGGCCAGTATCCCCCAAGGCGGTGTAGGTCACCTGGGTCAGGAAGAGCTCGGCCTCATTTGGACACAGTCCTTGGAGAAAGAAAAGAGAAGTCAGGAGTGGTTGCAGGTGAGGAGCAGGGGGAGGGGGAGGCAGGGCTGGGGGACAATTGGTGGGGAGGGGCAGGCACGCAGCATCCAGGACTCCTTTGGCTGCCCGTCCAGAGAACCCTCCTCCATGCCCGCACTCTGGCTCTCCCAGGGCGGACCCCCGGGCAGCTTGCCCACCCCACTCCCTGACTCGCTCCAGGAGCCTCTGGTGGATGTTTGGGGGAGCCATGCCCCAAAACTATTCAGAGGGAAATTTTTTTTTTTAGTCTTTGTGGAATGTGATAGAAGTATCAGAAGCACAGAAAGGGTAGAGGACGCAACTGGACAACCTAGGGGGTGGAAAGGGAGAAAACGCGAAACGGAGGAGGGACCAGTAAACCATCCAAGGGGCAGAAACCACACCAGGCTGCAGGACCCGCCAGGCAGGCGTGAGCAGGCCAGGCTCTGAACACCAAATCAGGACGCTTTGACACCCCTGCCCCCTCCACCAAGTGCATAGGCAGTGAGCGCGGGAACCAAAGAGGCAGAAAGATGCCAAACAGGACAGAGTGGTCCTGGAGGATTCCAGGGCCATTGCTTCAAGTGCCTCATGGATTAGCCAGAAGTAAATACAAACAATCAGGTTCTTTAAATATCCAACTCATAACAGTAATTACTGGTGGGAACAATCAACAGACAATAAAAAGCCATGCACGCAATAAAATTTGGTTCCCATGAGAAAATTGGTCCCCAAAGAAAATGGACAGTGGCGTTAGCTATAATTGGAACTGATTCTGATAAAATCATTTCAGCAAAATAAAAAGGAAAGTGATTGTTTTTAAAACCACTTTGTGTTGTATTGAAAATTGGTCAAGGAATTAAATTGGTTTAGTGGGAAATTCAATCTAGAAAGCTGTGTTCTCCATGAAACGTAGCATGAGAAGGATTGTGTTACAGGTATTTATATGAGAGTTAAAACAGCTACTGGATCAAAATGAGTTCCTTACGGAGACCCTCCCCTAAGTCCAGGGCCCCTGCACCTTCCCCAGACTAGGCTCAGCGCAGAGTCTCCACCTGCTGGGGGGAGGGGGTGACGCTGGCACTGCAGGTTCACAGCTTGGTGGGCTCCTTGGCAGACTGCATGCCGGCTTGGGACTCGAGGCACAGAGGCCTTGGGTGCCCAGCAGGCCCTGGGGCCGGCTGGGGATCCTGCAGGGATGGCATCAGCTGTGGCAGCAGTGGCAAGGGAGGCAGAGACAGAGGCTGAGCTGGCATGTCGGCTGGGGGCCTGAGGTGGCTGAGCCCATGCTGGTGTGGCGGGGGCAGGCTGCTGGGGGGCAGGAGAGACCCATGATGTGACCCAGGAATATTCTGGAGAGAGGCTGGCCCGATGGGGTCATCTTCTCCACTAAGGAGAAGAGAAGCCCCGAGACTGGAAGTGCTCCACCTCTGCTCACCCAGTCCAGGCACCTGACACTTCCTGGGTTTGGGGGGCGGCCCAAGATAAATGAAACCAGAGGTGGACACAGAAGTGGAGCAGGGCAGCCAAGAGGACACAGGACTTGGAGTCCAGGATCTGGGCTTTGGCCCAGCTCTTGCATTCCCCAGTTCACGGTCGTGCGCCTCAGCTCCCCCACTTTAAAATGGGCTAGCTGTGCTCACCTCAGCATCCTGGTTAACGGGATAAGGACTGGGTGAGATGAGAAGGGAGCAAGTGCTTTGTATGCTGTAAAGTGCTCTCAGATGCCTGGTACGTGGTGATGTGACCAGAGGAGTCACGAGCTCAGTTGCCCCCAACTTGGCTCACGGGCCCTCAGCAGAGAGGCCCGAGGGAATGAACAGGCTCCCTCATCCCAGCTCTGCAGCCGGCTGGACCCCAGGGCACAGATACCTGGCTTGGACCCCAGGGATGGCTCCTGGGCCAGGAAACCTGGCTGAAGGGTAAAGGTGGAGCCCAGGACGGCTGGAGGCCCTGGCCAGGGTGCTGGGTGCCAGGTGGGGGCCACTCGAGGGATCTTCTCTGGCCCAGGTCCGGGCAGGGCAGGTGAGATATGGATGAGGTGGGGTAGGAGAGCCCCAGGCTGGGACTGGGGGCCCAGAGACCCTGCAAGAATCCCAGCTGGGCCAGGGAGTTGGGGGGCAGGTACTCACAGGGGTAGAAGGCACCAAATAAGGCACTCAGGCACGACCCTCATATGGGCTTCGAGCTGGGGGATGCAGAACCTTAACAGCTCGGTGGAAAAGAAAGGGGAAGAGACAGGAGCTGGTGGGGGGCGCTTCCAGGGCTCTGCCCCACCCTGGAGGCCCTTTCGCTCTGGTGGGACCTGCCCTGCTACCCCCTGCCGCCTCTTCACATACCCAATCCCCACCCAGTCATGCAAGGAAGACCCTTCCTCCCTCCCCACCTTCGTAAGTCTAGAGCTTCTAAAAGCTGAGATGTCAGAAAAAGGCTTTTTGAAAGTAACTCAAGGCCAAGGAGGAGAGAGACATTATTTTAGCATGAAAAGATACAGGTGACGTGCTGGCCAGCCTGACAGTTCTTCAGCTGTTCCCACCAGGACCAGCCACCACAGTGCCCCACGCCACCTTCCTGGCCTTCATCTTCTGTGCATGCACATTTTTCTGAGGTAAACTTCACATAAAATTAACCATTCAAAATGAACAATTCAGTGGCATTAAGTGTATTCACAAGGCTGTGCAACTGCTGTCTCCATCTGGTTCCAGAATACTTCATCACCCCCAAAAGAAACCTGTACCCATGAGGCAGTCACACGCACCCCCATTCACCCCTCCCCCGAGCACCCAGCAACCGCTAATCTGTTTTCTGTCTCCGTAATTTGCCTGTTCTGGACACATCATGGGAGGGGGGGTTCACACAATGTGTGGCCTTTGGAGTCTGGCTCCATCCTTCACTTTTGAACCCAAGGCGTCCCTTTCTCCCCATCCAGCCAAGAGTCACCATGACCGGCCATCCAGACCAGAGACGGCTGTGCGAGGTGGGAACATGCAGGGAAAAAAGGCCATGAGAGCGAATATGCAGGAAGGACGGGGGTGGTGGTGGTGGTGGTGGTGTTGGGGGGTCGCAGACGGCTGAGCAGGGCACCAGGTCTGGAGGGGATGGGCCAGGCCTCCCACCTGGGACGAATTACAGGGGCACGAAGCTCCTTCCCATGCAGGACCCCGACAGTTCCTTCTGCTTGGACGACTGTGTCCTTCCCTGGCTGTCTCCTGACCTTCATTTTCAGAGAGTCCTTCAGACCACATGCTCCACAGGGACAACCTCCCGACCCCAGTCATTCTCTCCTTTATTTCCATGTTTCATCTTTTTTTTTTTGGCCACACTGCACGGCTTGTGGGATCTTAGTTCCCCGACCAGGGATTGAACCCGCGCCAGAGGTAGGACCTGCCAACCAGCCAACCAGTGAGACTGTCATACTGCTTCCCTCCAAGGTGAGGCACGTGAGCCTGGGACACAGATTCAAAACCAAGACCCATTGAGGCCTGGGAACCCAGCTCTGAGCCTGCACTCTCCTTGAAGGCCCACAGACACCTTGGATGCAGAAGCCCAAACCTGAACTTGCCACCTGACCCCAATATCTGCTTCTCCCACGATCTCCTCCATGGCTTTCCCACCTCTCCAAGAGCCAAAAGCCAAGCAGCTGGGAGGTTCCCTATGGGAGGGGACATTTGAGCCCTGGCAGATGAGAAAGTTTCCCCAGGGATTCCAGGCAGAGCACATGGCACATGCAGGGGCTCAGACAGGGGTAACAGCCTGGATCTTTGAGAGAGCAAGCAAGCAGTTTTTTTTTGTTTTGTTTTTTGTTTTTGTGGTACACGGGCCTCTCACTGTTGTGGCCTCTCCCGTTGCGGAGCACAGGGTCCGGACGCGCAAGCTCAGCGGCCATGGCTCACGGGCCTAGCTGCTCCGCGGCACGTGGGATCCTCCCGGACCGGGGCACGAACCCGTGTCCCCTGCATCGGCAGGCGGACTCTCAACCACTGCGCCACCAGGAAAGCCCAAGCAAGCAGTTCTGGGAGGCTGGAGACAGGGAGCAGACGAGGCTGGGGCGGGGAGTGGCCAAGGGGCCCTGCAGACCAGCCAAGGAGATCGGACTCTGGGGACAATGCACCCCAAGACATCCCTGTCCTAATCCCCAGAACCTGTGACTATGTCACCTTACATGGCAGAGGGGGCTCTGTAAATGTTATCAAGTTAAGGATCTTGAGATGGGGAAATGATCCTGGATTAACTGGATGGGTCCAATGTAATTGAAAGGTCCTTATGAGGGGAGGCCAGAGGGTCAGAGTCAGAGAAGGAGATGTGAGGACAGACACTGAGGTCAGAGAGATGCACTTTGAAGATGGCAGAAGGGACCACGAGCCAAGGAATGTGGGAGGCCTCTGGAAGGACACGGAGTCTCCCCTTGAGCCTCAGAAGGAACCAGCCCTGCAGACACCTCCTTAGCCCTGTAAGATTCACTTCTGATTTGATCTCCAGAACTAAGATAAAACAAACTTGGATAGTTTTTTTTTTTTTTTTTTTTTTTTTTTTTTTTCTTTTTTTTTCTTGCGTTATGCGGGCCTCTCACTGTCGTGGCCTCTCCCATTTGCGGAGCACAGGCTCCGGACGCGCAGGCTCAGTGGCCATGGCTCACGGGCCCAGCCGCTCCGCGGCATGTGGGATCCTCCCGAAACGGGGCACGAACCCGCGTCTCCTGCATCGGCAGGCGGACTCCCAAGCACTGCGCCACCAGGGAAGCCCAAACTTGGATAGTTTTAAGCCCCTGTTTGTGGTAATGCTACAGCAGCCATAGGACACTCACCTTGCCGGGTTCTGAGCGGGGGAGGGGCCTGGTCAGGAGCAGGTTTGAGACCATTCACTCAGTGCTGGTGAGGACGGTGAGGCTGGTGAGGCATCTCCCCCTCCATCTGCGCCCCTGCTGCCTCTGCCTACCTGAGCCCTGCCTGTACTTAGCCCCCCTTCCATTGAGACCTCTCTGGAAGTCCAGCCTCATGCTGGGGGCACTGCTTCCTAGGGATCAAGGGTTCCTCTGCCCGGTCTGAGATCCTGACCACTGTGCAGGCATCAGGAGGGCACAGGTTGGCTGGATGGCCCTTGGTGGCCCTGTGGGCAAAGGATGGATGGATGCATCTGGGATCAGGCTGGACCTGGGAGGGGGGCTCACATCAGCTAGTTTAGGTTTAGATATTGAATGTGTTTTGGATTAGAATTTTCTTTTGAGTAAAAAATGAGCAATAAGACAAACTGCTCAAAAGATCCAGCCACAGGTGGGTTTCATATTGATTCCAATTTCTAGTTAGACTTTGTGGCCCCCAAGCAGGATAAAGCAATTGAGCCATCCTGATCCATTC